GAAGCCCATCGCTTCCATTTTGACGCCATGTGAAGGAGGAGCGCTGCATGACGGAGGAGCCTCCTTTCCTCCTCCGCTCCGTCGGCCACAATTTCAAACATCCACTCATTTTGACCCAGACTCATTCCTGGGACCTGTAATTCCACACTTATCTGCCCTAAAGAGTTTCTGTTTTTATCCTTTTCAGTCAATGAGCAAAGTGTGAAATATTTATGTTGCATTTGATTTATTCATTCCAGTGTTTGAAGCATGGGGGGGGGGCTTCCTTCTAGGGATTACAGTGAAGATTTAAGCAGCGATTTATCACGACTGACTCTGTCTCGGTCTGAGATTTAAATGCCAGCCATGCAACCTGCTTCTACCTGTTTGTTGGGGAAAATGTTTACTAAAGCGAAGCATCTTCTGGGTCAAATGTTAAAAAGGGTGTAATATTAACTGCTACTGCTTTTCATCTTTGTATATTTTATTCACGTCAGGCTTCTTCTGAGAATCTAAACTGATCTGAATGGCCTGATATTGCTTTGACCAGGAGCTGCAGAAGAACCGGCTCTGTTCTGTGTGTTAAAGCTTCCAGCCTCACCTAACCTGATGGAACAGCTTCCCAGTCTGCTGGGCGCAAATTAGTCTTTTTCCCCAGTTGATTGTGTCGCAGCTTATTGTGAAAATGCATAAAAACGACGGGGGTATCCTGCAGAGATGTAACAGTCGTGCATCCAGGCTGAGGGAATAGTCTAGAAACTGTTAATCCTGCTGAGTGAAACAAACGTTTCTCTGGAAATAGTTTTTTGTTTTGTCGTTTTAAAGCTTAATTGATCTGTTATTTATTTTAAAGGATGATCTTTTGTCCACTAAGTTGTTTGCACTTTTTTTTTTTAAACTAATTGGGTGTATCTACTGTAAGTGATTTTTTGTATTGTGGATTCAGCTTGCAAATGAATGTTTATGCATCTAACTGTGTTTAACTCACTGTGGCTGAGAATAAAGGTTTCTGCTTAAGTCAGTTACTTTATGTGTTGCATTATTGTGATTGCTTCCAACAAGGTCCTCCTTCCGCTACCTCTGCACATTTCTCTCCTGAAGATGCTGCATAAGAACATCCTGCTTGTGAAGAAGCCGGAGGAGAATAATCTAAATGTGTAATGAGTTCAGCATCAGTGAAATTAAATGGCCTTTCATTTTCCAGAGGACCCCCAGAGGCAGCTGGGAGCATCCCAGTGGGCCCCTCGCCACACTCCAGGAACCAACCTGCTAAACAGACTAATGCAGGGTGGGGAGTCAGCCTTCTCCACGCTGCAAATGGAAGTAAGCCTGTCTGAAGTGAGTGTTTGCTGCCTAGCATGGGTGGGGAGGGTGGGGGCAGGACAAAGAAGTAGGTGGTACTACAAGCTGTTATAAAGATGAGCAGAAATCGGCTCGATAAAAACAGGAAATCTTTAAAAAGTAAAAGCATAGGAGGGAAATATGAAGGAAATTAATTATTACCCATTAAGGCTTTTGTTTGTTTTTGTTTTTTTTATTTATTCAAGCTTAATTAAAAGTTCAGGAATAATTTCTAACCTCTACTTTGCTTTAGGATTAAATCCTCACTTTTAAGGCAGAATAAGATAAATATTTTAGTCAAGAACAAGTTTATATGGGGAGTAATAAAAATAGATATTACTGTAGTAGAAGCTGAGAATTGTCCTAAGAGCTGCAACTGACAGCAAACTAAAGCTAAGATGCAGTCAAACGTGCTAGCAGGCGTTTTTCTTCCTTTTTATGCATTTCTATGTGTTATCCATAAATTAAATGGCACATTTGGTTATTTTTAGCTTATGTTTCACACAGCAGAAAATGACAATAAGGAATTGATTTATTTGAATAAGGAAATATATAAAATACAATTATCTTAAAGGAATAGTACACCCAAAACATGATTAGCCTTCATTTTCTACTCACCCCCATGCTGAACAACACTCTGGAGTACTTTTTTGATATCTCAAATGCATCTGGAGATCTGGGAGGCTTCTTGCTGTCTGCTGACATTCAAATAATGGAGGTCTATGGCGCCCGAGGCAGAAAGGTCCATAAAAGTCCACAAAAAACGTGTCAATATTCCTCCATACTGCTCGTCCAATGTATTCCAAGTGTCCTGAGTGGGTAGCATCCAGAATTTACTCGAAACGAAGTCATTTAGAACGTTTTAGAGCATAAACAGTAGTGTATAGGATTTCCTAATAGCGCCCCCATGCGCGCTCACGATTCTACGGAAGCCGGCAGACCAAACCGGAAGAAAGTGCGCATTCAGCGTCTGCTCTGCCGATAATGCAAGCGTAGAAGAAGAAATGTGCTGTTTACCTGTGCAAAGAAAGAAACAACGAAAGAAAAATGTCTGAGGACTTCAGTGTTGAGGAAGAGCATGAGTTCTTTGCCGAGCTGAATGCGCTGGTTTGGTCTGCCGGCTTCCGTAGAATCGTGAGCGCGCATGGGGGCGCTATTAGGAAATCCTATACACTACTGTTTATGCTCTAAAAACATTCTAAATGACTTCGTTTCGAGTAAATTCTGGATGCTACCCACTCAGGACACTTGGAATACATTGGACGAGCAGTATGGAGGAATATTGACACGTTTTTTGTGGACTTTTATGGACCTTTCTGCCTCGGGCGCCATAGACCTCCATTATTTGAATGTCAGCAGACAGCAAGAAGCCTCCCAGATCTCCAGATGCATTTGAGATATCAAAAAAGTACTCCAGAGTGTTGTTCAGCATGGGGGTGAGTAGAAAACGAAGGCTAATCATGTTTTGGGTCTACTATTCCTTTAACTATATAGAGTTTAGCTCAGTTTGTTTTTTGGAGTGGTCATCAATAAGTACAAATCTGAGCCATGTTAGGAGCAAATCGATACAATTTAGTTTATTTCTATAGCGCCGATTCACAAAACATCATCTAAAGACACTTTACAGTTCACCAGTATGGAAGCAAATCGTTACCATATTTCAAATGAAAAAGCATTTTTAAGAAATGCTTTTTCATTTTAAGAATGTGGCTGCATTTCTTGACTGAAATGAAATTGGTAATCAATCATTCTGTTTGCATTTTCATTTTCTTCTTTAAAACCGCTCATCCTTTTACTTAATTAAAATTAAAAAAAAAAACATTTGAGATTTATTTTTCAAAATGTACCGGTACCCCAGAAAATACATACCAAAATTCAATTTGAAATGTGAATTTTAATTATGAGTCAAACAATGCAGCCACATTCTTAAAATGGAAATATGGTAACGATTTGCTTCCATACGCCAGATCATCCAGTCAAGTTGATTCAAAGTTTTCTCTCTAATGAAAACCAGTTGATTGCATCGACTCATTGACTCTTCAGCAATCCCTCACACTAAGCATGCTTGTAGCGACAGTGGAGAGGAAAAACTCCCTTTGAACAGGAAGAAACCTCCAGCAGAACCAGGCTCAGTGTGAGCGGCCATCTGCTGAGGCCCACTGGGGTTCAAGGAGACAGAAGCAGAGATACAAAAAGCAGCTGTAAAAGGCGGCCCCGTCCAGGAAACACACAGCCAGGCAGACGAGCTCCAAGCCAGCTCCCATGTCAGAGGATGAAGAGAGCACATCCAGTTAGTCACAGTCAGAGAAACAGGAAACAATTTAGGCGGCAGGTATTGGGTTCTGACAACAGAAACATTCAAAATGCTTAAAATAGTCAAAGTTAGCAAGCTAAACAAAATAAATAAAAAGCCAATTTATTAATTAAAGGTTGGAGAAATTGGGTGGATCTCCTTTCCCTCCATTACTACCGTATACTAAACTCTACCAGCGAACAATAGGAATGACTTTTAAAAATAAGAATGTTCTCTAAGTTTAACCAAATCCATTAGGGAGCAGCGTGTTGCCCCTATGGAGCATTGTAGGGTTCAGGGTATTTTCCCAGCACAGAGCTGACCTTAACCTTCCTAAGGGGCCCAGAAGTTTGATCCAACATAGCAAAGAACCAACTGAACCTCTGCTGAAATTTCACTGAGCCAAACCAATGGATCAGTAACAGGCCACAGCAAGGTAGAGGAGTGGTAGTGCTGTGGGGTTTTCATCATTAAAGGTAGGATAGCTGGACCTTTCCAGTCTAAATCAATTCCTCTACCTACTGCCAGTTTTTAGATGACACAAACATCCATTTTCAGTGGTTCAGACATGTCAACATCTTTAAAGCTGGACATGCATTTAGGCAATGTTCCAACAAATGAGAACTCTTCTTCATGGACCATTTTTAAACGAGAAATTGGGGGAATAGAGAACATTCCACCTCTAAACTTCCTGGAGGAGGAGTTTTGCTGCAACACTTAAAGTTGATCATCAATTGATCCAGAAGAAGGAGGACTGGTGTTAAAAGATAAAAGGATGTACTGGTTTCCTTTGTTCTGTAAAATGTCAGAAATGTTTTTTTTTTTCCTTAATATAAATTGCATGATAATTTGCAAAGGTTCCACTCCCCCAATAATTGTGCATGCATAGTTTTTCTCTTAGTCAAAGCCTCATTTTTATCTTCTTGGAACAGATCAGAGGTTCAAAAACCTTTATTTGTTTCGATGGACAGATTTGTTGGTAATAAACCTCAAAACACCTAATAATTAATGCACACGTTGTAAAAGGTAATGAAAACATAACAGCACTTCTTATTGGAAAATCTAGAATTAAAAATGTGCAAACATTTAAAGAAGGTATTGGTCGAGCTGTGATTTATGATGCCTTGCAGTAGGAAATATGTTTCTTTGATCATAGAAAATTATCTTTTCCATTTCTGATATATTGATTAATCGCTCCCGGAATGAACCAATAAAATGTATTTTGATTTATTTGAATTTCTTCTCACTTTATTCGTTTTTTTGAAGGTAAATATTGCAAACCGGAAGGTGAAGCTGTCTGCTGAGTCTACCTTGACGACGCTGGTGACAGCCGCTCATTGATGTAAGCAGCAGCAGCAGCAGCAGCGCGGCTTAAATGAGCTGCGCTCAGGAGGAGCGCTCCTCACACTCAGCCTGGAGCGTCTCTCCTCCTCTCTCCCTTTGTCTCCATCCCCAATAAATGCGTGTGCGTCCTTTGGATAGCAGCCTGTCTGAGCGCACCAGCCCTGCCTCACCATCCCCACTGCGCTCCATCTGAGGTGGGATCGGACTAGGGGGGGATGCCCGGCTCGTTTCCTCCCAGTTCCAGGTTCCCCATCACATCCGAGCGGAGCTGCCGGTTGGAGCGCGCATTTCATCTCTGATGGATTTACTGCTGCCGTTGCTGGCAAGTTGGATTTCGTGAAATCCTCTCGTGGATCCGTTTACAATGGGCCGATCAGGGGAGATTTTTTAGAAAGACGCTTTGGATTCCACCAGGAGAAGAAATGCGGAGAGGTGAGTTTAGACGCGCAGAAGCTGAGCGGTGCGCATCAGGCGCCGCTGCCTCCCAATGAGGCAACCGCCTGGATCTATTTCAGTAAAATCAATTCAACTTGTTCTCATTTTCACCTTCTGCTTTAAAACTGTCTGTATTTTACATTTTTAACTGACTACAGCCTCATATAGTGATACACCTGCTGGTATCTGTAAACAGTCTGCTTTCATTGGTCCATTTAAATCATTTAGTTTTCTATTTCATTTACATTTTTCCAAACTAAGTATGTAGAGTTGAACCATTTTAGATAAGTGGCGTTATAAATAGAAAACAATAATTATTATTTGACACAAACAGATAATATTCCCAGAGCCAAACCAAATCTTAGTCGTGACAGCAAAGGTCAGATTCCCAGCAGAAAGCAAAGAGTTAGATGAATATCTAACAGTGATTGCCGTAAAGGGAAAATTTATCCAAATAGATTTTTATTTATTTTATTCTTATCTAAACACAAAAATAGAAATAAGAGGTTTTAAGATAAAAGAAGAGCTCCGACATCAGTTAACTTGTCCGTATTTTCTCCTGGTTGCGGGGAAACGCTTCTCGGAAGACGCACGCGCCACAGCTCGCGCTCCGCTTCAGCCATTGACTGTCTGTCTGTCTGACTGTCTGTCTGTCTGTCTGACTGTCTGTCTGTCTGACTGTCTGTCTGTCTGTCTGTCTGACTGTCTGTCTGTCTGACTGTCTGTCTGTCTGACTGTCTGTCTGACTGTCTGTCTGTCGGTCTGTCTCGCGCCATCAGCACCTGTGAAACACTTGTCGCAGCGCACAGCTGAAGCGCGCGCCTTTGTGGGGCTCGTGGTTCTAACGTCAGGCTGAGCGGCTGTTTATGTCCAGAATCACACTTAAAGGCTCATTTCCTGCCTCTAACTGCCTAAAGTCAGATTTTCTGCTCATTTTATTTCTTTTTTTATTTTATTTTCCCAGTGTTTATTCAAGTATTAATCCCTGTTGGTCATACAGGTAGAAATATACTTATAATGAGGTACAAATATCTAAATCTGATCATTAGCAAACATTTAAGATTTTCTAGAACTAGCCTACTTAGAATTATTATTTTGTAATTTCACAAACAGAGTATCTATTTAATAAATCTGAACTTCCTTTTCATTATTTTATTATTTACTTAATTTTTAATTTAGATTTTAAAGCTTATCAGATTCATCCCCAATAACTCTCCATGTCTGCAATAGAATCGTGTTTCAGGGTGAAAATGGCAGCTACCTGTTTTCCTCTTTTTTTAAGTGTTTGTGCTCCATCAGATATAGTGACACCCTGTGCAAAGAGTGATGTCTCCCATGAGGAAAATAGAACGAAATAATGTGTTTTCAGTTAGTGTGATTGTGCCAGGATTGTTGGTGGCAGCATAGGGGTGTTTAAGTATTTTTAAAAATCTAAACTCTCATGGGATTTTTCATGCACTCAAGTCTCTGGGGTTTCTGTCAAAATGGTGGAACAGACAAACAGTCTCTGCAGCTGTGGTGAGGAGAAAAGCCTAGACTATATGACCAACAAAAGATTTTTAAAGCTTTTAACCAAAAGCAGAAATTCGATGCTGCAACAAGCAAACAGCCACAATAAACTGGACTTTTGAGAACTCAGGAGAAAGAAATCTTTATTTCTGCTGAGACTGCAGACGGTGTTGGAATCTGGCATCGAATTCATGAATCCACTGAGCCAGCCTAGCTGGTGTCAGCAGTCCAGGTTGTAACCTTTGATTGTGTGGACATACTTTATGCCTCTTAATACCAATAAGTATAGCTTGAACTGAGTATGCATCGCTTTCTGAACATTTTTATGACCTTAGTTCACTACAGTCTGTGGTGAGTATTTTTGCAGAGAACTCCTGCTTCCTTTGCTGACATCAGATCTAAATACAGGACGGGTTAGAGGCAGAAGCAGGTGTGCAGCTGACGTGTCTGCAAGAAAGATTTTTAAATATTGGGGAAAATTACTAGAATTGTCAATTCAGTTCAGTTTATTTCTATAGCGCCAATTCACGACACAAGTCATCTCAAGGCATTTTCCAGTTCACCAGATTATACAGTCAAATTGATTCAAAGTTTTCTATCTAAGGAAAACCAGGTGATTGCATCGACTCATTGACTCTTCAGCAATCCCTCACACTAAGCATGCTTGTAGCGACAGTGGAGAGGAAAAACTCCCTTTGAACAGGAAGAAACCTCCAGCAGAACCAGGCTCAGTGTGAGCGGCCATCTGCTGAGGCCGACTGGGGTTCAAGGAGACAGAAGCAGAGACACAGAAAGCAGCTGTAAAAGGCGGCCCCATCCAGGAAACATATAGCCAGCTAGATGAGCTCCGAGCCAGCTCCGATGTCAGAGGATGGAGAGACAGTCAGAGAAACAGGACTTCACTGAAAAACAGGCCGATCTCCAACATCTAGAAACAAAGTGTTGATGGCAGCAGCACAGCTGATATTTCTCTCCAGGATGGAGTCACAGCCAAACATGAACAGACCAGATGAAGCTACTATGATTCCGTAAAAGTTCAAAAAATATCCACTGGACTTGGTTTTCAAGATTTGAAGATGTTTCGCTACCTCTCCAGGAAGACAATCCCCCCCCCCCCCCCCCCCCCCCTTTAATGACCGACCTTCAGAATCATAGACAGGTTTCAGATATTACAGGCTAACAATGGAATCAAACGACCCATTCATCGGTTTCCATTTGCATGTTTCCAAGCAATACAAGGCCTTGTCTATATAAAGACTCAAACTCACTGCGGATCCAGACATTTGAACTGAGAAAGCTTCTTGAAGGGGAAGCGCAACGTCTAAATACCTTGGAAACCAAGTCCAGTGAATATTTTTTGAACTTTTACAGAATGACTATGACCTGGATGACTGAGAATCTTCATCAGCATAAGCTACTATGAGAAAAAGCAGAGAGAGCAGAACGTTAGAGATTGAACTAACAGATTCTGCAGAGTGGGAGAATAGAGATAGAATGAAGCAGATTGATGAAAAAGGGGTCCCTATGTCCTCCAGCAGTCTAAGCCTATAGCAGCAGAACTATAGAGATAGCTCAGGATAACCTGAGCCACTCTAACTAGAAGCTTTATCAAAAAGGAAAGTTTTAAGCCTAGCCTTAAAAGTAGACAGGGTGTCTGCCTCACGGACTAAAACTGGTAGTTGGTTCCACAGGAGAGGAGCCTGATAACTAAAAGATCTGCCTCCCATTCTACTTTTAGAAATTCTAGGAACCACTAGTAAACCTGCAGATTGAGAGCGAAGTGCTCTGTTAGGAACATAAGGAACAATCAGATCTCTGATATAAGATGGAGCTTGGCCATTTAAGGCTTTATATGTGAGAAGGAGGATTTTAAATTCTATTCTGGATTTAACAGGAAGCCAATGAAGAGAAGCCAGGATAGGAGAGATATGATCTCTCTTTTTCATTTTCATCAGAACTCTGGCTGCAGCATTTTGGATCAGCTGAAGGCTTTTAACTACAGTTTGTGGACTTCCTGATAGTAAAGAATTACAATAGTCCAGCCTTGAAGTAACAAATGCATGGACTAGTTTCTCAGCATCACCCCTGGACAGGAGATTTCTAATTTTTGGAATATTCTGCAGATGAAAGAAGGAAATTCTAGAAACCTCTTTGATATGAGATTTAAATGACAGGTCCTGATCAAAAACAACACAATTTATTTTTACTTTATTATCTAAAATCAGTTTAATCCCATCCAAATGAAGTAACTGACTAATCCACTTGTCTTGTCTCTAATTGTGCATAAAATAAACGGATATCAGTGAGTATAATATGAGCTCAGGGGACTTTATTGTGTTAGTTTACCTTGTTGGCCACCTGAAAGATGCAGTGTGTTTGTAAGCGAAGTCGACTATCCATAATCAGGACCGCAGCTTCAGCTGTTTCAGCATTCTGTGACAGATGGCCGTAGTGGCCTTTTTCCCAGCCTTAAATTCAGCTTGTGAGCCAAAGTGAGAAGTGATGTAGAAAGGAAGTGACATGACCTAGAATAGCTGGTTTGAACCCGCGGTAATTTTTCTTCTTCTTGAAAATGAAATGAGGTCAGGAAACACTTCTCCCTGTGGGATCTGATGATGATCTCAGCTGCTGGAGAACAGAGGCAGCATGTGTAGCAGGAAATTTCACTAATTGTTGATTTTCTCCTTAAACAAATGTATTTATCTCCAGATGAACCAGTTGATCTCTTAAAGTGTCTGCGATCCGGTTTAGCCGGGAATTAATTGACAAAGTTGCACTGCAAAAATGATCTCAAAATGAGTAAAAATGTCTTAAATTAAGGGTATTTACCCTTAATTTGAGTAGGTAAATAAGATGATTTGCCAATGGGATGAGTAATTTTACTCTGAAAATAAGGTATCCAGATATTATGCACTTGAAATAAGACAATGCAATTGTTTTTTCTTATTTTAAGTGTGAATTGTCTTGTTCCATTGGCAAAGGGTCTCACTTAAATCCTTAATTCAAGAAAAAATGCACTTATTTTAAGAAGAAATTACTTATTTAGATTTAATTTTTTTGCAGTGTGCAAAGTATTTTGCATCTGCTATAAGTTTAATTAAATAAAATACTTTTTCTCAATTAAGGTTCATCTTTGCTACAAGCAATCTTGAACGATGGCTCATGATTTAAATAAAGGATTTTAGGAAGAGCTTCCAGATCTGTTGAGCTGGTGGCTGAATTTGGGAGGTCTGCTCTCCAAATGTGCCTGTGGTGGTTCATTCTCCCACCTACGTACCACACTTCACTGCAAGATAATAGAGATAGAGTTAATGAGGAGCCTGGAGCCTGGGGGGGAAACGTGAATATGTGTGCATTTTTAAAATGAGTTCATTCATGGTGCACACTGATATAGTTAGAGAGTCGCCCTTTGCCTTTACTACGCTCTTTGTCCCTTTTCCTCCGTCGTTCTTCGCTGCGGTTAGGTGATGCTCCCACTCAACAACTCT